GCTGCTAACAGGAAAGCCACCTGACTTGTTCCAACTGCGATGAAGAGAAAGCTGTATGATACACTGGGAGATAAAGACTGAACGATATCCTTTATCAAGGCTACTGGACTCCTGCTACAGACGGACTGAAGAATACAATTATCACTGTTATTCATTCTTTTTCTTCTTTACATCCGCTTTTACAGCTTTGGATGTCCATGAAGATATTAGTTCCTGCTTGTGCTCTTCTGGCTTGTTCGACCACAGACATATTTTGGTGCTGTAGAGTTTCTCTGATGTTATCTTCCCATCTTGTTCTTGGCCTGCCTCTTGCTCTACGTTCCTCTCCTCGTTTGGTATGTGCATTGTGAGATATAGCATCAAAAGGCATTCTCTCTAAGTGGGCAAACCATTCAATTTGCTGTCTTTGTATGTAATTTAGAATTGGTTTTGAATAAATATGCTTATTCATTGGTGTCGTTTAAATGTTGTATTGGACATATTCGTGTGACACATATTAGAGGCGTTTGCATATTCTCAAAGGCAAGAGCTCTAGAAGTATGCGCGATGGAAAATTGTAGAACTTCATATGTCCTTGCATTTATGAACACCGATAGAAGTAACCAGAGCCGAGTGTCTGAATAGAAACACACTAAACACAAATGTTGACATCTATCTATCTATCTATCTATCTATCTATCTATCTATCTATCTATCTATCTATCTATCTATCTATCTATCTATCTATCTATCTATCTATCTATCTATCTATCTATCTATCTATCTATCTATCTATCTATCTATCTATCTATCTATCTATCTATCTATCTATCTATCTATCTATCTATCTATCTATCTATCTATCTATCTATCTATCTATCTATCTATCTATCTATCTATCTATCTATCTATCTATCTATCTATCTATCTATCTATCTATCTATCTATCTATCTATCTATCTATCTATCTATCTATCTATCTATCTATCTATCTATCTATCTATCTATCTATCTATCTATCTATCTATCTATCTATCTATCTATCTATCTATCTATCTATCTATCTATCTATCTATCTATCTATCTATCTATCTATCTATCTATCTATCTATCTATCTATCTATCTATCTATCTATCTATCTATCTATCTATCTATCTATCTATCTATCTATCTATCTATCTATCTATCTATCTATCTATCTATCTATCTATCTATCTATCTATCTATCTATCTATCTATCTATCTATCTATCTATCTATCTATCTATCTATCTATCTATCTATCTATCTATCTATCTATCTATCTATCTATCTATCTATCTATCTATCTATCTATCTATCTATCTATCTATCTATCTATCTATCTATCTATCTATCTATCTATCTATCTATCTATCTATCTATCTATCTATCTATCTATCTATCTATCTATCTATCTATCTATCTATCTATCTATCTATCTATCTATCTATCTATCTATATCTATCTATCTATCTATCTATCTATCTATCTATCTATCTATCTATCTATCTATCTATCTATCTATCTATCTATCTATCTATCTATCTATCTATCTAGCTAGCTATCTAGCTATCTAGCTATCTAGCTAGCTATCTAGCTATCTATCTAGCTATCTAGCTATCTATCTAGCTATCTATCTATCTATCTATCTATCTATCTATCTATCTATCTATCTATCTATCTATCTATCTATCTATCTATCTATCTATCTATCTATCTATCTATCTATCTATCTATCTATCTATCTATCTATCTATCTATCTATCTATCTATCTATCTATCTATCTATCTATCTATCTATCTATCTATCTATCTATCTATCTATCTATCTATCTATCTATCTATCTATCTATCTATCTATCTATCTATCTATCTATCTATCTATCTATCTATCTATCTATCTATCTATCTATCTATCTATCTATCTATCTATCTATCTATCTATCTATCTATCTATCTATCTATCTATCTATCTATCTATCTATCTATCTATCTATCTATCTATCTATCTATCTATCTATCTATCTATCTATCTATCTATCTATCTATCTATCTATCTATCTATCTATCTATCTATCTATCTATCTATCTATCTATCTATCTATCTATCTATCTATCTATCTATCTATCTATCTATCTATCTATCTATCTATCTATCTATCTATCTATCTATCTATCTATCTATCTATCTATCTATCTATCTATCTATCTATCTATCTATCTATCTATCTATCTATCTATCTATCTATCTATCTGTCTGTCTGTCTGTCTGTCTGTCTGTCTGTCTGTCTGTCTGTCTGTCTGTCTGTCTGTCTGTCTGTCTGTCTGTCTGTCTGTCTGTCTGTCTGTCTGTCTGTCTGTCTGTCTGTCTGTCTGTCTGTCTGTCTGTCTGTCTGTCTGTCTGTCTGTCTGTCTGTCTGTCTGTCTGTCTGTCTGTCTATCTCTCTGTCTGTCTGTCTGTCTGCCTGCCTGCCTGCCTGCCTGCCTGCCTGCCTGCCTGTCTGTCTGCCTGTCTGTCTGTCTGTCTGTCTGTCTGTCTGTCTGTCTGTCTGTCTGTCTGTCTGTCTGTCTGTCTGTCTGTCTGTCTGTCTGTCTGTCTGTCTGTCTGTCTGTCTGTCTGTCTGTCTGTCTGTCTGTCTGTCTGTCTGTCTGTCTGTCTGTCGATATTTGTTTGCAAGCACAGGCACCACTTTTATTCCATGCGGATGGACTAATGTCATCCCCACAACCCAACCCCGGTTACGCCCTATAGGCCAACGCCTCCCTCCCTCCTTAGACACTCAGTGTACGCTGTTGGCGTCAAACCCGTCCCTATTTTTGCCCCTACCTGCGCGTTGGAGGTATATAGGCTGAACGTCATTCCATTGAACGAAGTTTTTTCGCCAGGGACACTAGATGAGTATCGTTTATTCTATACATTAGAGTCCTATGTAGTCACTTCATAGTTAGAGCCTATTTGTGTATGTGTACTGTGTTGTCCTTTATGTGCTGATGAAGGCTAATCGCCGCAACGTCCTTTGTTTGTTTATTGTGATCGATTTTGTAAAGCTAACATAAACTAATTGTTGTTTCTTACCAACTTTTTCTCTTCCCTATAATTTTCTACTCCTTATAAAAACTTGACTGTGAGTACCATGCCTCCTCATAGGGCAATATGACACTGTCGTCTGGAATGACGGGAAGGGGGCCAATGGAGATGTTTTTTTTTTCTTTTCTTTTTTTTTCTTTTGGGGCAAAATAAAAATCCTAACCTGCACAATTCGTGGCGATTACGCTGCGTTTGCGGCCTCAAAACCTCAGGCTCACGACACCCATCCCTCCCGCCCAGCGTCACCAAGAGGGAAATACAGCAACTAAAACCAAAGACTCTAGTCCCTGCAAAGGATAGTGTTTCAGACACATAATATAAGCAGATTGTAGAGTTCACTATATGTTCTATAAAGCTGCGGTAGTTCTGTGGCTAAACACTTAAAAGACGACCCAAACAATCTTCAGGTTCTTTTTACTTGATGTCTGTATCCATAGCACAGGGCCATTCACCAAAGTGTGTGTATTCAGGGATCACAACTGTATAAATGAGGCCCGAGCCCAAGTATAGTTAGTCTTTCCTCTTAGGTCTCAGCTCTCTATATTTGGCGGTTCGTTGCCATCTGTTTTAGGTCTTGGATGCTCATTAGGCCCAAAGGCCTTCATTAATCCTTCCCTGATGAGGATCTTCCTCGTTTTCTTTTCCCTTCCGGTATCCATATGAAGGCTTGGTGGAGAAGTTTGGTCTTGTCCATTCTGAATGTATGGCCGATGTACTTCCAGTGACTCTTTCGTATAAATCTGGATACAATTTCTCGCTTGGTCTCTTTTCTTATTTGCGTATTTGATCCTAAATCTGTTCAGTAGAGATTTAATATTCTTCTAAGATTTCTGCTCTCAAAATTGTGTTAAAAAAAAAAAAAAAAAAAAAAGTCTACAACTACTGTTGCTTTTCAACTCTCGCATCCATAAGTTAGCACTCAAATCACACAAGCGTTTAAGACCTTAACTACTGTGTCTTTGCTAAATATCTTTGACCTTCAGATGTTTGACAGTTTGTTAAAGCATAGAAAGATCATTAATGCGATAAAACTGGCAATGATCCGCAGGCTTTTTGATAGGCCTCTGTGGGCCACATCTGGCCCACGAACCGCCAGTTAAATAGTTCTGTTAGCACATCGTCTTTCGTCATCCGATACATCTGCCACCTCAGTGTCTCCATGCTCAATATACCCAGTCGGAGTTGACTGGCGTATCATCTTTCTTTGCCACGCAACCTGTTTCTGCATGCTTATCGTTGTTTAACACCAGTTTCTAACAGGCGGTTCATTGTCTCTAGCTCCTTTTTCTCAACGTTTTTGGGATGCTGTATGTCTGCTCTGTCCTTGCTAAAGTCTCAAGAAGAGTTCAGTACATAAGCAGATTTGAACAATCGATCGAGACTTCCAAAGCAACCCATCAGATATGTTATACCATTGATTGCCTTGTAACCGTGATATACCTGCCGTCCAGAGGCGATGACCGATGAAGTGCGCATGCACTTCAGCCAGCCTCAAGTTGTGGAATACCAGTTTAATCTTTTTTTAAATGACTCCTATATTTAAATCCTTCTTCCTAGAGTTTATTGACTGTAAACTTCGATGGAAAGTTTTGATTCGTCGTCCATTTCTGGACTAGTCTTTTTACAGAGCTTGAGCTTTGATTGCACATCTGTTTTATAGATCTGGTATTTCTGCATGCAGACCGTTGGTTCTTTGTCCTTCAGGAAGATGGAGTCTAACTAAAAAAAAAGGAAACATGCATAGTTATAAGACTTTTACGACATGTTTGTTAGGGGGCAGTGGTCCATCTCTCTGCCCCCCCCCCCCCCACAACCTATCGTAATGGTGCCACAAAGGGAACTTTCATATATGAATGACTATCTATTCAATCATTGACATAATTCTCATGTAACTGTTTTTCTTTGTCACCAGAATGGCCAAGTGTTTATCACACACATCGAGTCCCGGAAGTGTCTGTCGGTCCCGCAACAGTACCAGCTGTTTCTGCAGATTGTCTGCACACATGACACCTTCTGTCACTTGACCAACACAGTCAAGCAAAACCCCCTGGTCTGTGATGTAAAACTCCTAGAGGAGAAGGAACCGGAGAGAAAAGGTCTTGTCCTGTCATGTCGTATCTTATTTTGTCCTGTCTTCAGTTTACAAGAGGTCAAACGCCAAAATCAAGAGAGAGAGAGAGAGAGAGAGAGAGAGAGAGAGAGAGAGAGAGAGAGAGAGAGAGAGAGAGAGGAGAGAGAGATGACGTTTGAGAGAAATTCAGCTTCAGCATATTGGTCTTATGTGCACTATATGTTAGAGACTGCCACTCCACAGTCCTTTAGGACTGACGGTTGCCTACAGATCTTTTCTTTTCTGAAAATACATTGAATGTTCTTGTCTTGTCCTGTCCCTTTTTGTCGTGTCTTATCTTTTCTTGTTTTAAATTGTACTGATTTGTTTTGTCTAGTCTTGGCCAGTCCTGTTTTGTTTTGTCTTCTCTCATATTGTCCAGTCTCGTCAAGTTTTATCTTATTTTGTCTTGTCTTATCGTAACATGTATAGTTTTGCCTGATCTTGTCATATGTGGTTCTGTCTTATGTATATATATATTTTGAAGCTGCGGTCACAACCACTGAGGTACATGCACCAACATACATTACACGAATGTCCATTACTTGTTTTAGAATAAAATGCTCCCACATCTGAGTATTTAAGTTGATTCTCCTTCGGTATGTGCTCTGTCGTTGAACGTAAATTTTGTCTCGCTGTGAAATTATTCTTAGGTCGGCTCTTTGGTTTGAGAATTCTCTCTACTCTACTTCTGACTCTGTGAAATAGAATTTAGTGAAATGGTTTCTCCTCGACGTTTTCCAGGGTTCGATTCCCTGGTGAACGTTTGAGAGCAAGACCTCTCTCGAGGCTTTCAGACAGTGGTACAAGAGTGGCATCGTGGAAAATAATAGTACCTCACCATGTAAAATTCATACAGTTAGTATACGACGTGGATTCGAAGCCAAAATCTTTGAACTGGAGGTAAACATCTATAGTTCTCCCCACTGCCTCCCATTTTTGGGACATTTCATTCGTGTCAGACAGTTGTGAGCTTTTCCGTGATTGCTTGTGAACTTACGCTTATCGTCTTTTATACACAGATGTCTGGTTTCCCCGCCACATCTCAGAGCTCGACGCCTGTACACATCTCATCACCAGGTACGAACCGGATCTGGACTACACACATCCTGTGAGTATTTACCTCTGGCTAAATTACATTCTGAGAGCCGCCGTGGTATAGCGGCTAGACGCACACCTGCTGATCGGAAGGCGCAGGTTCGGGTCCTGGCAGAAGCGGAAATTTTTTTAAAAAGTGACCTTGACTCTTAGATCGACCCGTCCTTGAGTGGGTGCCAGTCCTGTAAAATAAAGGCGGCTGGCGTTTTGCTGACTACATCTCCCATCTAGCGCCGATTGGTCTATAATTTTTAGATCTAGCTCGATTTGCTCAATACGCATGAAGGCGTGGGAAAATAGCCTTTTACTAAATTACATCAATACATCGCTCTGAAGGCAGAACAGTTCAGAAATCAGCGGCCCTTTCTCTATGACACAAGTTTTCATGTGGCTGCAATCACATGTCTGAGTCATTGCGAAAAAGCCTCAGTGTGCGTTTTGTTACCTTTATCTTTGTCTCCGGTATATTGGTCTTGTACAGTTTTAATTAGCTTCGTAATTCCGGTTTCGATTACAGCTGCAGGCCTTGCGCCTTGCTTTGGTTTAGACAGTGGTATCGAGAAGCTGACCGTCCCGGAGCAATGGCAAACTACTGGACGTAAATTTGCCTAGAAAAACAAGAGCCAAAAAATGATGGAGTTGGTTCTGCAATGTCCTGTAAAGGATACGCAAATAACTAACTTAACTGTATTAATTGCAGAGAAACAGCTCATGGATCGCTCTAAAATTTAGTGTTAATGAGATTTTGGTAGCAGGGTGACCACGTCACTGTTCATAATGCGAGAATTGGGAGTGAAGATCGGCACAGCTAAACGTTAACTAGCACAGACTGGAAATATTAACGGCGGCACGCTGATATGCATTCTGAAAGGGGGATCGTAGCACTTATGGAGTGTCTGGAATTCCATGAGAATAACCCAGCTCATATCGCGCAAGCATTATTTTACGAGACACATCGCCAAAACTGAGGCGACCAGCCACTTCGCTATTTTATGAATATGCACATTTCAGCAGACATTGCAAAACGATAACCAATAATTTACTAAAGCAATTTTTTTTTTCTTCTGATTCCTGTATTTGGAATAATATTTCAGGGTTTTGCAGACAAGAACTACAGACTGCGGAGGAAGGAAATTGCAGACATCGCCTTTGAGTATCGCTAGTAGGTTCTCTCTTCTTATTATTGTCTATGTCTTTCGGCGTATATATCAAATATCTATACATACCAAAAACCCATACATACGACATACTCATACATATCACATACACCTACATACCACATACCCATACATACTAAATATATATACATACTAAATACCCATACATAGCAAATATCCGTAAATACCCAATACCCACCCATACATACCAAATATCTATACATACCAAATATCTATACATACCAACTATCTTTACATACCAAATATCTATACATACCAACTATTTATACATACCAACTATCTATACATACCGAATACCCATACATACAAAATATATATACATACCAAATATCTATACATACCAACTATCTATCCATAACAAATTTTTATATATACCAAATATCTATACATACCAAATATCTGTACATACCAAATATCTATACATACCAAATATCTATACATACCAAATATTTAAACATACCAAATATTTATACATACCAAATAATATCTATACATACCAAATAATATCTATACACACCAAATAATATCTATACATACCAACAAATATCTATACATACCAAATATCTATACATACCAAATATCTATACAAACCAAATATCTATACATACCAAATACCCATACATACCAAATACCATTACATTCCAAATCCCCATACATACCAAATATCTATACATACCAAATATCTATACATACCAAATATCTATACAAACCAAATACCCATACATACCAAATATCCATAAATACCAAATATCTATACATACCAAATATCTATACATACCAAATATCTATACATACATACCAAATATCTATACATACCAAATATCTATGCATACATACCAAATATCTATACATACATACGAAATATCTAAACATACATACAAAATATCTATACATGCCAAATACCCATACATACCAAATATCTATACATACCAAATATCTATATATACCAAATATCTATACATACCAAATATCTATACATACATACCAAATATCTATACATACATACCAAATATCTATACATACCAAATACCCATACATACCAAATATTTATACATTCGAAATATCTATACATACCAACCATCTATACATACCAAATATCTATACATACCAAATATCTATACATACCAAATATCAATACATACCAAATACCCATACATACCAAATATCCATGCATACCAAATATCTATACATACCAAATATCTAAACATACCAAATACCAATACATACCAAATATCTATACATACCAAATATCTATACATACCAAATACCAATACATACCAAATATCTATACATAACAAATATCTATACATACCAAATATCTATACATACTAAATACCAATACATACCAAATATCCATGCATACCAAATATCTATACATACCAAATATCTAAACATACGAAATATCTATACATACATACCAAATATCTATACATACTAAATACCCATACATACTATATACCCATGCATACCAAATATCTATACATACCAAATATCTAAACATACGAAATATCTATACATACATACCAAATATCTAAACATACTAAATACCCATACATACTAAATATTTATACATACAAAATATCTATACATACCAAATACCGTAGATACCAAATATCTATACATACCAAATATCTATACATACCAAATATCTATACATACCAAAAACCCATACATACCAAATACCCATACATACCAAATATCTATACATACCAAATATCTATACATACCAAATACCAATACATACCAAATATCTATACATACCAAATATCTATACATACCAAATATCTATACATACCAAATATATATACATACATACCAAATACCCATGCATACCAAATATCTATACATACCAAATATCTATACATGCGAAATATCTATGCATACATACCAAACATCTATACAGACCAAATACCCATACATACAAAATAGCCATACATACCAAATATCTATACATACCAAATATCTATACATACGAAATATCTATACATACGTACCAAATATCTATACATACCAATTACCCATACATACCAAATATCTATACATACCAAATATCTATACACACCAAATACCCATACATACCAAATATATATACATACATACCTAATACTCATACATACCAAATATCTATACACACCAAATATCTATACATACCAAATATCTATACATACATACCAAATACTCATACATACCAAATATCTATACATACCAAATATCTATACATACCAAATACCCATACATACCAACTATCTATACATACCAAATATCTATACATACCAAATATCTATACATACCAAATATCTATACATACCAAACATCTATACATACCAAATATCTATACATACCAAATATCTGTAGATACCAAAAACCCATACATACCAAAAACCCATACAACTTCTTCTTAAAGTCTGTGCCGTGTGGCGTTGGTAGTCATTTGTATACACAACCTTCTGTCTCGTGTACTTTCAGTCAACTCTGACACAGATGATCCTCCACGCCATGATGTCAAACTGTCCAGCATATGTTCTCCCTCTCTTCCCCTGCCTCTCATCCACTCCAACTTTCTTACTGTCACGATATACTCCAGTTTTCTCTTTCTCATGACATGACCATAGAAAAAGTAGATTGTCTCTTTCTCTTGCGGGCAATCAGTTCTCTTTGTGAGTCAGTTTCTTTCAAGGCATCTTCATTACTATGTTTACCTGTACAGGGTGTTATCATTTTTGTGTCTATAAAATCACATCTCAGTAGCTTCCAAATAAGTTTTCACCAATTTACTTACTGCCCATTATTCACTTCCGTATGTCCAGAAAAGGTTTATATAGCTTGTGATAATCCTTTATCTTGTCTCAGTTGACAAAGGCAGATTACGTAGCCCATACATACCAAATATCTATGCATACTAAATTGATTGTGGATGTAGTTGAACACGAAACATTAGGTGTTTTATTGATAGTTATTTAACTTGTTTCCATGTTCATGCCATAACCAGCAAAATAGAACAAAGAGTTTTTTTAATTTGGCAGAATTCAGCACTTTCTGGACGAAAATACACGTAAAATATTTTACGTCTCCTATATCCAATCGCATATTCACTATTGTTCAACACAGTTTAGGATGATTGCTCCAAACTGTAGGTCAAACTGCTGTGCTCTCTATAAAATTGGGTCTTACGCTTAGTCTCCAAAAAAAAAATTGCGTAGAAGAAAATCTTACAGGGACATTTAAGACTTTTACCATTTAGCAAACGTTTATTTTTAACAGAATCCTCCAAACTACCTTTTCCAGATGATAAAATCAAATCTTACACATAGCGAGCGACTATTATTATTCTCTGTTGTTCGATTTTCCCCATGATATGCCAACTATTGCGCCATCTTCTCAATCTTTATAATTGTTGATACCAGTGATTATCTAGCCATTTTTGTTGACTTCTTCGCCTGTCTTGAGTTAATCCCATTTAACTTTGCCAGTACCAGCAGATTTGGCAGCAAATGTCTAAACGTGAACAAACATGAATCTTAAACAGGATCAAAACACGGGGAACGAGAACATTTGAGTAGCCAGATTTCTTTAAAATGTTTTGACCAAATTTCAAATATAAGAGAACACAGTATTCACTTGTTGTGATTCAAGAGGAAGGAGGCAATGACACATGTACGTTGTTTGGGACTGAAAGCGTTAATGCTCATTGAATCTCTTAGTGAAGGTGGTACTAAACGGGACACATCCTGAGGAAAAACGAGCAGAGAATCAACAAAGAGGTTCTAGCATTGGAAATTAAGGGAAACCCGTAAGAACATTGATGAGCGCTGTAATTTGACTAGAACATATATAGCTAAAAATGACTAAAATATGTGTGGTAGTTCTAAAATATAGCTCCCATCTAGCTTAAATATAGCTATATTATGGCTTGAATATGGCTGTAGTGTGGCTAGAGTGTAGCAGTAGCGTGGCCTTGTGGCTAGAGCATGGCTGTAATGTGTATGAACACAACTGTGATATTGCTGGATATATAGCTGCGGTGTGTCTGGTCTATGCATGTAATCTTGCTAGAGTAGTGTGGTAAAGTAGGTGGAGTATAGCTGCAGTATGTCTGGGCTATGACCGTAATGTGCTAGAGTAGTGGGGTAAAGTAGGTGGAGTATAGCTGCAGTGTGTCTGGGCTATGACTGTAATCTAGAGTAGTGTGGTAAAGTAGGTGGAGTATATATCTACAGTGTATCTGGGCTATGACTGTAATGTGCTAGAGTAGTGTAGTAAAGTAGGCGGAGTATAGCTGCAGTGTGTCTAGGCTATGACCGTAATCTTGCTAGAGTAGTGTGATAAAGTAGGTGGAGTATAGCTGCAGTGTGTCTGGGCTATGACCGTAATCTTGCTAGAGTAGTGTGGTAAAGTAGGTGGAGTATAGCTGCAGTGTGTCTAGGCTATGACCGTAGTGTGCTAGAGTAGTGTAGTAAAGTAGGTGGAGTATAGCTGCAGTGTGTCTGGGCTATGACTGTAATCTAGAGTAGTGTAGTAAAGTAGGTGGAGTATAGCTGCAGTGTGTCTGGGCTATGACTGTAATCTAGAGTAGTGTAGTAAAGTAGGTAGAGTATATCTACCGTGTGTCTGGGCTATGACTGTAATGTGCTAGAGTAGTGTAGTAAAGTAGGTGGAGTATAGTTGCAGTGTGTCTGGGCTATGACTGTAATCTTGCTAGAGTAATGGGTAAAGTAGGTGGAGTATAGCTGCAGTGTGCTAATGAGACAGGATTACCTGTACAGTGTGACTGGAGTATATAGTTAATGTGACAACTGGCTAGAGAATAGATGTTTTGTGATTAGTATAAAGCGTCAGCGAGGCTGGAATATAGCTGCAATATAGGTGTAATCTAGACGTTCTGGGTAACACTAACTGTATAATATACATATAGCAGTATAATTCTAGTGTAGTTTTGATATAGGTGTAATAAAGTGGTAGTATACTTGTTATACAGCTATAAAATAGTTGTAGTATAGTTGTAATATAGCTGTAATATAGTTATAGTAAAGCTGCTTTATAGCTACCGTATAAGGTTAGTTGCGTATCCTTTGCAGGATGTTGCAGAGCAAACCCCATAAGCTGGTTTTACTAGGCAAATTAGTTTGCCATTGCTCTCTAGACGGTAGGCTTTCTTGATACCACTGTCGAAACCAGAGAAAGGCACATAGCCCGCAGGTGGGATCGAACCCGGCATTCCGGCATTACGAAGCGTTCGCATCGACTTAGCCACAGAGCCGACAGCTGCCGTATAGTTGTAAAATATTTGTAATATAATTGTAGAAATGTTCTGGTATAGCAGCCATGTAACCATTAAGTGCATACGATGTAGATGTGGGAAATTAGTGTAGTTTAGCAGCAATAGAACGTATCTGCAGTAAAACTCTAATGTAGCAGACTACGTTTGTTCATATTTTTTTGCAGCGGTAATGCGATACCAAGAGTCCAGTACACCGAGGAAGAAAATGCCACCTGGTATGATCATCTTTTTTCGCCTTTCCATATCTTTCTTTCTTTCTCTCTTTTGTTTGTTTGTTTCTTTCTTTTCTATAAATATATCACTTTTATTTCTTCCTTTCTTGTACGTCCATCTGTTTTGTGTTCTTTCTCTCTTTCTCTTTCTTTTTCTTTCATCTTTTACTTTCCTATACGTTCTATTCTATTTTGCATTCTTTCTTTCTCTCTTTTTTTCACAACTAGCTTTTCTTTTCTTTATGCATTTCTTTAAATTTTTCTCATTTTGTTCTTTCTGTCTATCTTTCTTTTTCTCCCATTTTACTTTTTTATTCTGTTTCTTTCTTTCACTATTTTTGTTTTTATGCGTTAATCCTTTCTTTCTTTCTTTCTTTCTTTCTTTCTTTCTTTCTTTCTTTCTTTCTTTCTTTCTTTCTTTCTTTCTTTTTCTTTCTTTCTTTCTTTCTTTCTTTTCTTTTTCTTTCTTTCTTTCTTTCTCTTTTCTTTCTCTTTCTTTCTTTCTTTCTTTCTTTCTTTCTTTCTTTCTTTCTTTCTTTCTTTCTTTCTTTCTTTCTTTCTTTCTTTCTTTCTTTCTTTCTTTCTTTCTTTCTTTCTTTCTTTCTTTCTTTCTTTCTTTCTTTCTTTCTTTCTTTCTTTCTTTCTTTCTTTCTTTCTTTCTTTCTTTCTTTCTTTCTTTCTTTCTTTCTTTCTTTCTTTCTTTCTTTCTTTCTTTCTTTCTTTCTTTCTTTCTTTCTTTCCTCTCTCTCTCTCTCTCTCTCTCTCTCTCTCTCTCTCTCTCTCTCTCTCTCTTCCCTCTCTTTCTTGTTTTCTTTCTACACTGTGAGTTCCATTAACCGGAATACCTGATTGATTACCTGTACATGTGATTGCTATCACCGAGTTTCGTTGTGTGCGATCTTTATTCCATTGCTGGGTAAACTGTGGTAGAAACGTGTCTGTAACGTGTTCCCCTTCCCTGTGTTGCCAGTTTTTGAAGACGCCAGAAAAAAAGAAAACATCAACTAGGCCCAGTCTAATAAACATTTTCTAGGATACGAGGGCCTCAAGTGGCTTAATTCTTCTTTAAGTGAGTAATAATAATCTTCTTCCTCTTAAGCCGTCGAGACTTTGAGGTTCACTGCTGCAGATATCATCCGCTTCCTTTTATCTCTGTGATTAGTCCTCTGTTTCCAGTTGGCAACTCCAAGTATTTGCAAGTCTGCCTGTATATTATCAACCCACCGTCTTTCTTGGTCTGCCTCGTGGTCAACGCCCTAGTGTACAGAGTTTTGAATCTTAGTGTCAGATTATATTCTCTCAGTATGTCCCAGTCATTTTAGGTTATTAGATCTCATGATGCCAGTGATCAATGGGGATTTAAACAGATTGTGAATTTCATTGTTGCTTCTCATTCTCCATTCTCTGCTGGTTGCATCTTTGATAGGTCCAAAGAGTCGTCGTAGTAAGTGAAGTAAAGATCCATTTACATGCCCTTAGGCGCATCGGGCATATGGGAAGAGCACCCATATTTCACAGACCACTCAGCACTCGGTGGGTAATGTGGTCAGCATTACGCCGGCAGTCTTTACTTTCCCAGGACAGCCCATCCTGGTACCCATTTGAGGCTGGGTCGACCTGTGACGTCCCATACCACGATACTAATCCACGCAGCTCGCAGTAGGTTTCGATCGCGGTACGTTGGATTACACGTCGGACTCGCAACGCCTTAGCCACGGACGCCGCAGTCTTCGTAGTACTATGTTCTAAACAAAAAATTGTAATAAGGCTTTTTCTCTTTTAGCTGTACTCTAAGTTTTAGAGCCATTTAGAACAACTTATCTTATCAGCTCTTTATATAAATAAATAATAATAATAATAATAATAATAATAATAATAATAATAATAATAATAATAATAATAATAATAATACACATTGTTGGGGTTCAGGTGCCGCTAAATGGAAAGAGAAGGCCAATCACAGAGCTAGATGGGAGCGGGTGATACGAGCAGCAGTGAACCTCAAAGGCCTCTTGACTGTACTTTCTAGTTACATATTACTTATGCTGGCCCCTCTAACAACTGACTTATGCACCTGATGCTTGTGCTAGCTTTTCAGTTTTGCGTAGACTGCTTTCTTTTTGGCATTTCACATGGGACAGTGATTATTATTTTTGTTTGGTGTTCACTGGCACAGGAAGGGAGCAATTATATGGTGACTAGTTTGGGAGACTGTTTAACTTTCTTGATCGCCAATGCTAACTGTGGGAATAATACGTACCGAGGCCCTTATCTCTTCCACGATGCTACTTTCGTACCTCTGTCTGAACGTTGAATTGAGAATCGACATCACAGAACTCGAGACATTCCCATAAGCACTTCGTCCCCATCTTCTGCAGCAAGCAAAGAGTTCCAATTCGGGTGGTATCAGTAACTGACTGATTGTACAGCCATCTCGCCTTTCCCTTCAGTATTGAGCGTCGGCCAGATGCTCTAGTAACTTCTCGCAACGCTATTCTCCTATTACCGCAATGAGCTGTTTGTGCCTTCTCACTGTTCGTGCCTCTGTCTTAAAGCCACGAGAACTGCTTGTTTCTTTACCGCCCATCACGGGAACCGAACCATGATAAACGTAGAGAATTACATTTTGAAACAATTTCACCAACCTCTGAGTCACAAAACAACACTAACACTGTTAACCAAATTAATCGACAATCAATGAGTAGTAAAAACACATACAAAACGTGCATAATGTTTGTGGTTTCAGGCGCCATGTGTACAGGAGGCTAAAGAAGCTGTTCCCGACTCACGCCTGCAAAGAGCATATCTCCGTGTTCAATACGCTGGAGCAAGAGGGTGGTTATTGCGAGGACAAGATTCCCCAGCTTGAGGATGTCTCCAATTTTCTCAAACGTAAGAATTCATTATTGGTCACCTTATTCGAACGGATAAGAATACTGGGCTCTCATGTGGAAGAAACAGGTTCGAATCCCCCGTAAGGTAATGGCTTTTTATCGGCGGGAAACTAGAGGTAGAAAAAAAGAGCGGGAGGCAAAAAAAAATTCTTAACCAAAACATCTATAGAATGCCATCTGGTAAATAAAATATAATTATATAGTATCATATTTTCCACTTGCCTCTTGTGTGAAAATGGTCGTTTTACGTTGTTTATATTATATTTTAAGTGGGGAATGGCCTTTTCTACTTATATTAATTGTGTAAGCAGACTAAGCTCTATATTGAGAGGCAGACGAAGAGCTGGCGGTTCATGGCGAAGGCGATTGGACCTCGCTTGGTGCAACAAAACTTGGCATATGATATCACAATGTCTAGTTTGAGAATGGAGGTGGAGGCAGTCACAGCTGCCTTCCGCTGGTTTGATAATCAGCTTTACACACGTGCGGTCATTGTAAATTACTTGAAGAGCATGTTGAGAAAGATGGAGATAGGCATACTCCATACAGAGTGGCAAGCATCACTTCAAAGGTCCTGGGTAGTGAGCATCCTTTGCAACTGTTCTCCAAGTCATGCCGGTGTGTTGGGATATGAGCACGCAGTCAGAGCGAGTGAACATTGCCGAGTCACAGATAGGTCATTACGGTCTGAGGAAAATGGCACTGCTAGGAGTTACAAGGGGATCTGGCCGATGCTCGACGCTGGAGAAAGGCGAGACAGATATACAATCAGACAGTTACTGGTACCATCGGAATTTTAACTCCTCGCTTGCTGCTGAAGATGGAAACGGAGAGCTTAGGGTGGTGTTCTGAGTCCTGTGATTTCGATTCTTACTTCAACATTCAAAATTGTAAGCAGACTAAGAGTAGAGTGGCCATATGTCCCGTTTTCACCGGACAGTCCCACGGCACTCTAAACCTCAAATGTCCCGTTTAAAAAATATCTAGAAATAACCTCGAGAATGGAACATGTACTTATAGTAAATAGGACAATATGCAAAATTAAAGGTAAAATATAGAGACCTAGACTACACACTACATAAGTGGTACCAGTAAAAATAAGGCTCCTCCACTGGAGGAGAAAACACTTGACTTGCTTGGGATGTCCCATCTTCTATGTAAAGAGAAAAACAACAGTAATGGATTCTTTACAACGCCTTTCAGGCGTATTGGGTGTATAGGGCTAGACCTATATTTTTATAGATGAAACGGCACTTGGTGGGTGATATGGTCAGCATCAAACCGGCCGCCTTTACTTCCCAATACTATACCTGATACCTACTCGAGGCTGGGTCGACCTGGAAGCCAAGGTTATTTTGAAAAAAATAAATACCCGGCCATCGTCAGGAACCGAACATACTACCTTCCGATCTGCAGGCAAGCGTCTTCTCTCTGGAGACGGCTAAAAATAAATTTAAACGCAAAATCTTTGTTTTGATTTATTGTTTACGGGGAAGGCTAAGCCAAGACAACAGATAACAGCAGACTAAATACATTCTATGTAAATGCATTTTTAAAAATAAATTTTATATAAATTGAAGAATGTATATATATATATATATATATATATATATATATATATATATATATATATATATATATATATATATATATATATATATATATATATATATATATATATGAGGGGGTCTTCGTGGCAAAGTGGTCAGGCCTTTTGCCTCGTGCTCTGAAAGTCGGTTAAGAAACCTGAGTCTCCCTTTCCACCATTGATACATAAAAATGTGTGGAGCACCTATTACGGACTTAGACTCGCTTGCAGTGAAGAAACAGAATCGCCTAGAATCCTGACCAAGAAACCTCACTAAGAATACAATAATGCCTTGTTTACAAAACAAAGGGCGGTAACCTAATATATCAAGCTGTAAACTGTATTAAATGCAGTTATCTCCGCATGGTGTAACGGGCTACATTGTGGGGAAAACAAAACTAGAACCACTGTGGGGAAAACAAGAATAGACCCACTGTGGGGAAAACAGGACTAGACCCACTGTAGGGAAAACAAAACTAGACCAACCATAGGCAAAACAAAACTAGACCCACTGTGGGCAAAACCCACTACCTGCCCCAACAAGCATGTCGTAGGAGTCGACTAAACGGGTACTCCTTTAAAGTCGGAGTACATCTACCTGAGAGGCAAGGAGCCAGCAGTTTGCTTACAAATAAGTCATATGTGTAAAACGGATGCACACGCAACATTCAGGTTCTGCAACAAGATCAAAGTCCAGAGGTGGATGAACAACCAGAACTCTCCACCGGAGATTACAGTCTGTGAACACGAAGAAGAAGAAGAAGAAGAAGAAGAAGAAGAAGAAGAAGAAGAAGAAGAAGAAGAAGAAGAAGAAGAAGAAGAAGAAGAAGAAGAAGAAGAAGAAGAAGAAGAAGAAGAAGAAGAAGAAGAAGAAGAAGAAGAAGAAGAAGAAGAAGAAGAAGAAGAAGAAGAAGAAGAAGAAGAAGAAGAAGAAGAAGAAGAAGAAGAAGAAGAAGAAGAAAAGAAGAAGAAGAAGAAGAAGAAGAAGAAGAAGAAAGAAGAAGAAGAAGAAGAAGAAGAAGAAGAAGAAGAAGAAGAAGAAGAAGAAGAAGAAGAAGAAGAAGAAGAAGAAGAAGAAGAAGAAGAAGAAAGAAGAAGAAGAAGAAGAAGAAGAAGTAAGAAGAAGAAGAAGAAGAAGAAGAAGAAGAAGAAGAAGAAGAAGAAGAAGAAGAAGAAGAAGAAGAAGAAGAAAGAAGAAGAAGAAGAAGAAGAAGAAGAAGAAGAAGAAGAAGAAGAAGAAGAAGAAGAAGAAGAAGAAGAAGAAGAAGAAGAAGAAGAAGAAGAAGAAGAAGAAGAAGAAGAAGAAGAAGAAGAAGAAGAAGAAGAAGAAGAAGAAGAAGAAGAAGAAGAAGAAGAAGAAGAAGAAGAAGAAGAAGAAGAAGAAGAAGAAGAAGAAGAAGAAGAAGAAGAAGAAGAAGAAGAAGAAGAAGAAGAAGAAGAAGAAGAAGAAGAAGAAGAAGAAGAAGAAGAAGAAGAAGAAGAAGAAGAAAGAAGAAGAAGAAGAAGAAGAAGAAGAAGAAGAAGAAGAAGAAGAAGAAGAAGAAGAAGAAGAAGAAGAAGAAGAAGAAGAAGAAGAAGAAGAAGAAGAAGAAGAAGAAGAAGAAGAAGAAGAAGAAGAAGAAGAAGAAGAAGAAGAAGAAGAAGAAGAAGAAGAAAGAAGAAGAAGAAGAAGAAGAAGAAGAAGAAGAAGAAGAAGAAGAAGAAGAAGAAGAAGAAGAAGAAGAAGAAGAAGAAGAAGAAGAAGAAGAAGAAGAAGAAGAAGAAGAAGAAGAAGAAGAAGAAGAAGAAGAAGAAGAGAAGAAGAAGAAGAAGAAGAAGAAGAAGAAGAAGAAGAAGAAGAAGAGAAGAAGAAGAAGAAGAAGAAGAGAAGAAGAAGAAGAAGAAGAAGAAGAAGAAGAAGAAGAAGAAGAAGAAGAAGAAGAAGAAGAAGAAGAAGAAGAAGAAGAAGAAGAAGAGTAATATATATATATATATATATATATATATATATATATATATATATATATATATATATATATATATATATATTCGTCTGGCATAAAACAGCCCCAGTACATGTTGAGTCACGGACCCTGCTACTTGAAATAAAAGTAATCAAACTGTCAATGGGTGACAACAATGTGATCCTCCATGTACGATGTTCACCACATGATGATCATGCTGATTGATGGTGGGAGATCGATGACGATAAATAAGATTATTAGGAAAGTGATCAATGGTGACCACTCCAACAGGTAAAACAGGTTTCCAGCTGCGACCCGTGGCTGGTCTGCTGTCAGCTCGTGATTTCCTGGCCTCTCTGGCGTTTCGAACCTTTCAGTGTACCCAGTATGTCAGACATGGGGCTAAACCCGACCACTCACCTGAACCGTAAGTATCCTTTTTTCTGTATAGTCCTCTTCTGCCTTATAGAGCCATGTTTTGAAAGGGCAACGGGTTTGACTCTTGGTATGTACTACAATAAAGTTAGTTACGTAACCTTTAAAGGACTTTGCAGAACCAACTCCAGCATTATTTGGATGTTGTGCTTTTTTTAAAGACATATTTCACATTCAGTAGTTAGCCATTGCTCTCTAAACCGTGGAATCTTGATACCCCTGTCGCAACTAATTTAAGACTGTGATGCCAAATCGCATGCAGCTGTGATTGAACCTGAGGGGCATTTCGTCGGGCATTTCGAAACGCCTGAGCCACAGACGCTATATAGATGCTGGTATTTGCAGTCTCAGATAGTCTATCTATGGCACGCTTACGTGGTCGACCTCTAGGTGCTTTCATTATATCTAAGGCACAGGGCTCTCTGTGGTGCACTGTATTGTGGTAACCGTTTTATCTTTTGATCTACTGTCTCCATCACAACTTCTTTCCTGATTCCCTGTCTCTTCTGGCTGCATCTAAGATTTGTTGTAGAACGAAAGTAATAATTTGTGCTTATCATCAGTTCCATTGATTCACAGTTACCCTGTTGCTCCAACAATTGGTAACATGAATTATGAATTCTCTGTTGTGCCCACAATGCTTCTTGAGGGTCAGTGCTACAGAGATTGTCCGCATCCATCCATCGCTTTGATAAACATTCCCTTTCCAGTTGGTAGCTAAGTATAGTAAGGTATAATAACAAGGAAAGTCCACACATCTCTGTCTTTGGTGTTCTAGATCAATTCCACTCCATGTCACTGTATTAAGCCACCCACTATCATTTCTCTTGACCTACGGCGACTACAGTATGATCTCTCCGTCGGATCTGTGGCTAAGTCGATGCGAACGCTTTGTAATGCCGGGATGCCAGGTTCGATCCCAACTGCGTGCCATGCACCTTGCTTTGGTTTCGACAGTGGTATCAAAGAAGCCGACCGATCAGAACAATGGCAAACTACTGGACGTAAATTTGCCTAGTAAAACCATACAAC